GTGGCCATCACGCAACCTGTGATCATACCAATAAAATTAATGAAAGTACAACAAATGCAATGATAATCCATTTTATGATTTTCAGTTACTGCAAATGTATAATCTAATGTATTATTTACGATAACTAACCCACAGTTTCCACACTTAGCAGCTTTGTTTTTATTGGTATGAACCCGGTCACCTTTAGCTCTTGTCCTCTCGGGGTCCTTCACACAATATTGGCTCAAGCGTGACTCTTTTGGATCCGCAGCTAACCTTCCATTAGTGCCACAATCAAATCCACGCTCCACCCAAGCTCTCCTCCAATTATTAGTCTCCTTTATAACAATATCTCGTACACGAGCAAATCCATCATCCATATGGGATGCAAAGAAACACATTTCCTTGCAAATTGATGTCAACGTTCCAAATCTTGCAGTTTGAACCAACTCAGCATATATCTCCTGCCTCCCTTCAAGAACTTCATTATCCGCCTCCTCTCTGGCCTCGCATGTCCATCTTTTTAAAATGCAGGATTTTGGTATTGATTGCATGTTTTCCATCAGCATTACACGAAACATGTGTGCGCATGGTAACCCTTTCCATTCCATTTTCTTGCACGAGCACTTTAATGATAGGGTCCTTCGATTGAGCTCTACGGTCCATGTTCTGTCATCGGCATACTTTTTGAGAAAAAATATGCAGCCATTCCAAGTTTCTTTCCGTTCATAACAATCATATAGGCCTTGTCTGTTAAGGTGCTTCTTTACCCGAAAGAAAACATTTCGAGTATACACTTCGGATGCATGCTTCTCCAACTTTTGTAATGCAGTTGCCAAAACCACTATTGTATCTTCTGTCTCATAAACTGCCTTGGCCCCAGTATGCCTCAAGTGAGTAAGAGCCAACTCATGGATGATGACTGACTCATAAAATCGCATGTTCTTCTTCAAATACTGTTTAAGAAAGGCATTCATTTGTTCGCACCTTTGAGTGCTTCGCATTCCAGCAAAAAAAGTATCACGAAGCAACGATTCAGCCCATAGCAACCTCATTTCGAAAATCTTTTCCACCCATTTATTTTGGCGGAGTCCACATTTACCCAAAACAGCAAACCACTCTTCCTCCAAGTCACCAATGGGGTACGCCTTTTTCATCATCCTACCGAACATTGACTTGAATACATTTGATTTGGCTTTAGCGTCTGCATTTTTCATCAAATGCCAAATGCATAATCTATGTCGAGCATCTGGGAACACATTATTTATTGCCCTCCTCATTGCTTTGTCCCCATCTGTTATCACGGCCTTTGGCTTTCGTCCTCCCATAGTTTTGGTTAATGTGTGAAGGAGCCACTCATATTCTTCAACACTCTCACCCGATACCAAGGCTGTACCGAATACAACAGTATTATAATGATTGTTCACTCCAGAAAATACAACGAGTGGCTTATGATACTCGTTGACATTATAAGTCGAATCAAATATTAGAACATCACCAAAACATTTATAATCCAATTGGGACTCATAATCTGCCCAGAAAAGGGTCTTCAACCTTGATTCTTCGTCTACATCATATTCAAAGATGAATGATTTGTCACTGGCCTTCCTCCCATTGAAATATGCAATTGCATTTTTTGCATCCCCAGCCTCAATCAAGACTCTCCTTTCTTTATCGACACGGTTATATAGGTCTTTTAGCACAAATCCAACATTACCATATCCACCACACTGCATTGCAAAAAATTTCATAACCTGACTTGTTTTCACCCCTGCCATTTTCATTGTTCGTACTTGAGCATAATCGGCATCTGTTACGTGTCGATGAGACCATAGATATGGAATGCTTGATTTGGAAGCCATTTTGTGATTGTGTTCTTTCACGAAATTCGTCACCACATATTTTTCAGATGCTTTGTCATGTTTGATGCGTAGACATGCAAGACATCCTGTCCTTGTCTCTGGCCTGGGCTGCCTAATCCTCTGTGCTAGATTGTAATATCTCTCGTGCCTTTTTCCTTCCCGAGAACATGCGAATTTTCTATACCGTACAGTTCCATCTTGACTAATTTTAACATCTGCCTTCTTAATGCCAAAACCAGTGAGCTTGCCATACAAATTGTAGAACTCATATGCATCTTCCTCAGTGTCAAATACCATATTCATCACTTCTTCATCCATATCATCAACAGGGTAATTTTTTTCTATTGTTTCCGAGGAAATGAATTCTTCTTCACTTGAGCTAAATGACTCACAATTCTCATCCTCTTCATTCAAATTTATTACTGCATTTTTTCCTTTCTCCCGATCCATCTGCGACTATCAATCAACACAATATAATTATCTACAATTAATTTATCCAAATTTTACTACAAATATCTAATTTTATATTATCTTTGCTGAAATTTTATGCTCTTATGTCATTTTACACAATTAAATTAATCTAAATTTATTTAATTTTGCATATACATATATAATTTATTTTTTGTAATCCATATAATTGTACTACTACTACCTAATTTTATATTATCTAGTTTGAAATTTCTTCCAAAATATTTAAATTATCCACTCTTATGTCAATTTATTTATTTTTTCTAACTTCTTTTCAGTTATGTATCCAGCTTTACATTTTCTTCATTATGTTTATTGTTCACTCAATTAATATGTACTAATTGTCTTTTCTATGATGACAATATTTTTCACAATGTCATATTATTTTTGCCTACAAATCAGGCCGGTAGTCAATTTTCAATTGAACCAAGCAATATTAGTCAATAACTTTCGGTATGGACCAATATAACGACAAACTTTACTTACAATTCTATTCTAATTCTTCAATTACAACATGTACAAAATTAATTCTATTCTAATTCTTCAATTACAACATGTAAAAAATTATATTTAATCTTCAAAATTTGTATTCTAGCAGAAATTCACTAATGATCCCAACATTTCACTTAATCCTTAGTGGGTCCATAATCAATTCGAGCAATCCAACTACAATATTCCCTGAGGTTTTCCACATAAATCAGTACATTTGTGCCTAATTTTATTAAATATTTTAATTGCATTTAGCATTTTCTTATCCAACTCATACAAATATTCATTAAATAATCGTGTTCAAGTCATCGAATATTTACCTTATACAATATTTTGCCTCTACAAACCAGTTTCTTTCTTTCTACTTTCTACAACTACACAATGAAACTAAAAACAATATTTCTTATTTTTTTCTATGCTCACAATTCTATCACTCTATTGTTCATAATTTAGAAAACAATATTAACAAATATTTTAAATTGCTCTTACCCATTTTATGTCATATACTAAACCAATTACATCATATTTTATGATTATTGGTTCATGAAGAGAGTTACCATTCATATACAAAAGTACAACATATATTCAAATAACAATACTGCATAAGCAAATTTATTCCACATTTCAATTTTTTCCCTCGATTACAAAAAGAATATTTCAAAACGACATCCACTAATTGATCATTGTTACAAAACATATTACCTTATCCACGTACCAGCTGCTTCTTCACCTTTATCTATTTGCGTTTTTTTCCTCCCGGCCTCTCCACTATTCACAAGACTTTTGCTCAATTGTTTGCTCTTTTTACAAGTATTTCATACGGATCCATCTAGCTTCATTTATTACCTTAGCCATTAATTTTCACCTATATTGGTTGGTAAAAGTAATTGTACAGATTAATATTCCTCGTTCATTCTCTTGCCAAATAAATGCTTTATACCTCGTATGATGCTAGCCAATTTTCACGTCACATTATTATTCCTCGGACTAGCGAAATAACCGACGAAATAAGTCTTCTTATTCCGGTCCTTCACATGGTTCCTTCCACTGACAAAAGTTGAGACCTTCAATTGTGGAACCCACTGTCTTTTCAGTGTGGAGCCCACTGTCACTTCCAATTTCGGTTGCCTTTCCATGACCGAAAACAACCTTCAATTTTGTTTGGGCTAACGTGTCTTGTCCTCCTCTCATCCGTACCTCCTTACTCCACTTTACCAATGCATTGGTACAAACCACTATACCAATCCTTAGAATTTTCGCTGATTCAACTCAATGCCACAAGTATTGTATGGAGTCTACAAAATCAAACCTACATTCAAATTCTACGACATTATTCATCTCCACTTGAAAAGACCACCGTCTCTCTCCCTCTCTCTCTCAAAATAGAACAAAATGTTGACTTTGGTCTTGCAAATTGTATATCCTAACTAAAAGGTGAACTTGATAGAAAACAAAAAGAGATAAAAGATTAATAAATTAGAACTTTTCACAAACAGCACATAAAAAGTTTCAAAATAAGGAGAAAGGGATGGACCCGACTTGATTGCACTTTTGAGCTCTTAGGTTTGGTTCAAGTTCAAACTTCAAACTCGAATTGTATATGAACTTTAAATTTATGCTCATGTTCGATTCAACTTATTATTCGATAGGCTCAAATTCAAATCCAAATCTCAAAAATTTATTTAATTCTTTTAAAATTAAACTATCACTAATACATATATAATATTTATATAATAAAATAATAAAATATAATTTTATATAAAAATATTGATAAGTATTTTAAATAAAATATTAAAAACTATTCAAGGCTTAACTAGCCAAATATGTACAAGTTTGAACTCGATTCAACACTTTAATCAAATATTAATTCACAATTGAATTCGAGTTAAAGTTTATTAACAATTGAACTCAAATCCAACTCTTAACAAATCTAGCTCTTGACGAATCAGGCCGTTTGTTAAAATTTGGTTCGTTTACAGCCTTTTTTTTTTTTCTCTTTTTGTCAAAATTTCACTTTCATTACTATGTTAATCTTTACATTCGGTATAAATGGAGCAACTGCTGCATCAAAGATGTGGACTTCTATTAAGCCGCATGGGGAAATATCTTTCCCACTTGTCAACCTGTACTAAGTACTAACTTGGTAGCAAATTTGGCCAAACTCCTACTCACTTTGTCAAAGAATGAATTTACACTTCCAAAAGGATTTTTTTTAATTGTAAAATGTCCTTATATGTTCGTTTACAGCCTTTATCGAACGGGAAAAGTTATAAATCTCGGTGAATTCGCCGGATAACGTGACACAATCGCAGACAAAAACCCGCATCAGAGAACAAAAGCAAAGCCCGCTCTTGCCTCTTTTCTCTTTCATTCGCACCTTTCCTTGACGCACCTTTCTTCTCCCCATAACATACTTAGCACAAAAGATCAGAAGGAAAAGGTACCCATAAGTTATATAAATAGCGTTTACTTCTATTAGTCTTCTATCCAAGCAGATATCTCAAGGTATTTTATTTGCCCGTAGAGGAAAAAAGAGATATATTTACCAAAGCGGATACAGGGGAAAGAGGTGAGGAATCCATGGCTGACCACTCCGATGATCTGGACCAACTTCTTGATAGTAAGCACCTCTAAGAGACAAATACGCAAACACCGGGCACTTTATTTTTTTGCCCCTTTCCTGAATTTTGTCTTTCAATTTTTCTTTTTTGGCAGATGCGTGTTTGTTTGCAAAATTGAATGAACAGTTGTTTCTCGTTGGTTTTTATTTATTTTCAGGTGCTTTAGATGATTTTCAGAGCCTCAATCTTACCTCCTCTGCTCAAAGGTTCAATCTTTATTTGCTGTATTCGTTTTTTATTGTCCATAATAGTCATATATACTGATATAGGACAATTTTTTTTAAATGGGTTAATCAGAATATCTGTGGATTTTGATTGCTTATGTAGTATGAACTAAAAAGGGTTAGTTTTTATTGGCTTCGAGAAGTGGGGATAATGAAGGGAACAAGCAAGAGAATTCTTCGATGCCAAGTGAGGTACAGGGGCTAGGCATGGGATTGCCTGATTTGAGAAGTAAGAAAAAAGGGAAGCAAAAGGTTTCAAAGGAATCCCATGTTTCTGAGGCTCTTGATAAGCTAAGAGAGCAGACAAGGGAGGCTGTTAAAGGGTTGGAATCTGTTTCAGGGCCGAAACCCATGGAAGAGAACATTGGAAATGATGCAATGATGGAAGATTGGGTTAAGCAATTTGAGGAGCTTGCTGGGTCTCAGGTATTTTTGTTGGATTTTTTTTAGTATGTTAAGTTCTTGGGCAATTGTGTCAATGTTTCATTTCGGAGCAACTTGCTTAACTTGTTTTTGTATGGAACACGTTGGAATGTTAACATGTGTCCCTAATTTGTTATTTTATCGTCTTGGATTTTCAGTTTAATTTTAAATCTCGTGGTTCTAGATTAGAAGAGTTTCTGCTACCAAGCAAGATGATGGAGATATAAAAATGAAAATTTGGAGGTAGTCTATAATTTCAAGTTCTGAGCTTCTGATATCAGAAGTGCTGGTTACCTTTTTGTGTTCCAATCAATGGCCTGTCCCAGGAAATGTTAGCTTCTGTTGTCTGCTTTAATGAACAGTTATGGTTATCTGAATATTTACATGGAGGGACATCATGATCATAAGGGGTGATATCTAGCTCATGTTCTCTGTATTCAAGAATTTAGATCGTAGATGTAGAAAACTACAAAGATTAGGCTTATAGCCATTTTTCAGTTGTTCTGGTGCTTGGTTGTTCAAAGAAATACTGGCTTGGACTAACAAACTCTGAAAGAGGAAAAGAAGCTTGATGATTTGATTAAGAGTTTATAGAGTGATTCAACTACTGTATTATCTTAACAAAATTCATGGGTATCCTCCATGGGCTGGTAGTATTCGGATTTTGTTCTTTGCAAATGATAAATTGCCTATTCCACTAACAGTACTGGAATGCTAGATGCTTTATAATGCACTAGGGCCACCAAACTTCTCTGACTGTTAACCCAGTTTGCCACAATTCCCTTTTGAGGAGTCTGATTATACATAAGTATGCATATGGCTCTGCATGTGTCTTTGTGGTTGCATATCTGGCCAAAATTGCATTGCTGGGTTGTTACTAATGGTGGATGTTAGGCTACTCGATTATGTGAATACCAAGTACTAACTGTTTAGTTGGAAGCTCCATGTTAGCAATATTGAAATTGTCTAACTATGCTGTCAAAATTCAGTTACTATTTATATGTGTCTGGGAATCTGTTTTTCTTCGTTAGGAGGGAGGGATTATCCCCCTTTTTTTGTTTTTATGTGTTTTTTTTTTTCTTTTTGTGTTGGGAGAGGGGTTATAGTTAGGGAAAAGGCTTACTTTTTTAGGCTAGTGATGCATTTGGAATCCCTTGAGTGCAAGGGATGTGCTTTTATTGTAGCTTTAAGCCTACATATGCCTATGCTATATCATAGACAAAGCTTGTTCCATGTAAAACTGGTTGGCATTTTGCTGAAAGATCCTTGTACTGCTTAGTTGATATGATCTTGGCCAGCATCCTCTCACATGGGTTCTTATGCACTGCCTACTAATAATCCACTGAAAGCTGGTGTGTAACTTTGTTCTCTTCTATATCATAGGACATGGAGTCTATTGTGGAGACAATGATGCAGCAACTTTTGTCTAAAGATGTTCTTCACGAACCTATGAAAGAAATTGGTGAAAGATATCCAACTTGGTTGGAAGACAATAGAACCAAACTCAGCAGTGAAGATTATCAACGGTTCTCGCACCAGTATGAACTTATAAAAGATTTGAACGAAGTTTATGAAACTGACCCTGGTAACTTCAACAAGATTGTGGAGCTCATGCAGAAAATGCAAGAATGCGGGCAACCTCCCAACGACATTGTGCAGGAGCTTGCTCCGGAATTTGATCTATCAAACTTTGGACCATTGTAAGTGTACTGCTTGTGTTTATTGAAATTTGAAAATTAACATGATAACAACATGGTTTTTGGCGGATTAGATAAAGATTTTCCAGGGTTGGGAACGGCTTTGACTTGAGGAGAATGAGAGGGAGAGAAGTTTTTCCCGGGGTGGGGGATTCTGGGATGTGGGTTTTCATTTTTCATAGTGGCATGAGGAGTAGAAGAAGTACACCAGGTCACTTTTTGCACTCTCATTACAAGAAGGCCAACCTTCTTTGTCTTCTTCTTCACCTATATTGTTTTTTCTTCTACATCTTGGCATAGCGAGCACTGATTGACAAATGGTTTGGCTGCTTTTGCAGATCTCCGGAGACGCCTGATGCTCAACAAAATTGTTGTATTATGTGAGATGATGTTTTCTATATTTCTCTATTTTCACGCCTTTAGATTGTCACCACAGAAGATTTTTACGGATTGTTTGTAGCGCCTTTATATCATTATAGGTTCTTTATCTCAATTATTATTTTTTCTCACGGTTAATATAAGGGGTTTTTTCTTTAAAAAAAAAAAAGGGAAAATAGTTGGGATGTTGTAATTTTGAGGTCCATGCTTCTCCTGTGGGGGAATTATGTTTGATTCATGAAAGGCCCCCAGGATCAGGAAATCAATGCAATCATGAAGATTGTTAGGATGAGACGTCAAAATTCGTTCATTTCCATTCCATTTTTCTTTAAAGTTAAAAGCTTTTATGAACCTCGTGAATACGGATGTGCATTTATTTGTTCAGGTGATGCTTCCATATCAGTGAATTAAATTTGGCCCAATTTCGTAGTCAGTTTCAGAACTAATTATAAAAATTGATTATGAAAGATAATCAAATGCGAATTTTTGAATAATAATAGATTTTAGTTTTTTTTATCAATAAAAAATCTATAATTAGAATACAAATGCAAGTAAAAAATATTTCAAAAATTGATTATCTAAAATCAGAATCTATAATTAGTTAAAATAATCAATGGAAAATAAGCCCACTAAAAGAAATCTGCAACTTTTGTGTCAAGTTTACTACACCACTAAAAGAATGACAATGAGAAGGTAGACTATGGCAAGTACATAAATTAAATTTGTCACTGTTTTCTAATCTCGAATTGATCCTAAAAGTGATTCTTTTTTTGAAAAAAAAAAATCTCAAATTGATCCAAAAAGTGATTCGTAATTGCAATGCATATTATGGTAAGAATAGAATAAAAGAATAAATGAATTTTAGCGGGCAGTGTGGGTGATCCAAATCTCTAGGCATCATATGGTGCAATCCAGTGCCTTCCATTGACAAAACTCTTGACAAGAAATGGATGGGCCGCCTCGAAATCAAGTTCCCTGGCCCATGATACACCGCGGACCGCTGCAGCTCCAGGACCCCAACATTTGTAGACTCCAAAAAACACGGTCCTATATTATCAGGAATTTTAAGTCATATTCTCCTCATCATTGTAGAAATGTAATTAGGCAGTCAAAAACTTTTGCCTAGCAACTTTAGGTAAAATAAGAGAGTCTAGTCCAAAGGTTGCCTTTGTTATTATTACAAAGTAGCTTAAAAAGATCGAAAAGGAATTTCATCTCTAACCCAACAAACAAGTTTTCTGAATTTACCTCACAAAGGAATTTTGAATCTAGAATTTTCTATTTATAATCTCTCTCCTTTTAACACCCAACCTAATAAAAAAAGTGGCTTACTTGTTCTTGTTGCTAACATGGTCCCAATCATCCCATCCACCATGGGCAACCACATCATCAAAAAATGTATAGGAGTAAACAATCCTGGAGTACTGGCCCATAGCACGGCCCACATATATTTGTCCAGATCCTGTCACTCTACAGCGCACAAAAGCAAACCCAGTCTTCTCATCAGGCGACTTTCTCCCTTGGGCGGCAATGGATCCAAATCTAGCGGCGATCGAGTGCAGTTCACAGTCCTGAATATTTTCATATGGGCCAATGCTAAGCAAAGTAATACAGAAAGCAAAGAAATATACAAAAGTGAAATGTTTGTGTACAAATCGATCATTACAAGGTAAGAATTTTTTTAATCTTTTTTTTTTTTTTATAAGTGAAAGATTTTGAATCTAAAATTATCATTACAATTTTTTTTAAAAAAATTTTCTATCAACGGAAGGGTGGAACTTAAGAAGAAACGGGAAGGGGGTGGGGGGACTTGAAGTTTTTTTTTTTTTTTTTAAGTGTAAGCAAGAGGACTCGAATCCGATACCTCTCACTTACACTCCCTCCTCCCGTACCACCCAACCCAACCCTCCCCGAGGGACTTGAAGTTAGTTCTTCATTTGACTGCAGGTTATGAAATTTTAAAAAGAGATGCATTTTTATCATATGTAGCAATCATTTCATGCATGGCATAAACTAAAGTGAACGTTTTCATCATTAGACAAGTATGAGATGAATGATTATTTGGCTAAATCTTTGGGTGAAAAGGTGGGAACAATACTAAAACCTTGCTCCCTCTCCTTTATTTAATATGCTCACTGCCTTTTTTTTTTTTGGAATTTCTTATGCAATTTTTCTAAAAGTTGAAACTGCCTTTTTGAGCAGTTTCAACTTTTGAGAAAACTTAGGTGCAGTATAAATTCATCGTGACATGGAAGGAAGTAATAGCATAAGTCTCTTCTCAAGGTGGCAACCTAAATACTGATAATCATGAAAACAGATGAATAATACAAAGTAGCTATATAAACTTGAAGAAAGAGTGAATAATGTCACATGATTGCGCCTCACGCTTCCCTTGTCAAGACCTTTTTGATTGACTATATAATAAAGTTCTGCTAGCTTAGAAATTAAACAATTCAGAAAAACAGTAGTTTAGAAAAGAAAAAGTGATCAGCCTGTTGCTTGTGGATTGTACTACCATAGACAAGAAGACGAGACAAATGGCAACAGCTTTTGTCAATGGGCTCAATTACCCATCACCTTTTCAAACATGTACTGGTAATAGCACTCATCTTTTCTAATTGATTTAATCTACCAAAGAACGTCTTACCACTACCAAGAGATGAAGAAAAATTTATGAATTAAATACCATCTGCTTAAATTACCTTGTACATGGAGCGACCATTTCCAAATATGAAGTCGATTGAGCCTTCGATGTAACAGTCCTTGAAGTAATGGCGTCCGGCGTCGTCGCAGAGAGTGTCTTGTGCCCCGTAAAATCCACACCCGGAGAAGTATGCTTTGTCGCCGGATATCCGGAATGCCACTGCTTGCCAGCCCTGCATCCCCGGCATTGGTGCTGGTGCTGTATTCTGACCCCCAATTTGCAGAGATTAACTTAATTCAAATCATTTTTTTTTACATTGTAATCATGTCTCGTGTTTTTGGGAAGCATGGTGTTCAACCAATTTTGGAGCCATTTTACTGCTCTTTTTTTTACCTTCTAGCTTTTGAGTGAATGAAAAGTTGCAACTTCAATAATGTACCTTGAATTAATGGACGTGATTTTTGCATGTTGACAGGATACAAGCCAAAATGGCACAACTTGAACGAGAAAAAGGAGAAACTTTCCAAGTAAGCACAGACAAAATCCTGGTTGCACATTGAAAACTTGAGGAAATTTTTAGCTTTGGTTGGGAAAAGTGCATCTTTTCTACTAGCAATTATTGCGCGGTACCAAAAAAGTGGTTTTTTGACTAAATTGTAGAGTATTTACTGTTCAAGTTAGAGAAAACGAAAAGGGTCACCAGCAGTAGTTGCTAGGGTTTTATATACTCAACTTAAAATTTGTGTAGTAATTTGCTATTTACTCTCTTATTCATGAAAAATGTGGCCTAACAAATACTTTTGAAATTTAATTTCATGATTATGCTCCGACCTACTTAGTCTACTGCTACTGGTAGTCAATAGAATTATTAATGTTACTACTCGAGCATTATTAGATTTTGTCCTCAGCTGGAGTGGAACTGAAGACGGAGGCAGCAGACAGTGACTGGTCATGAGCTAGTGTACCTTGAAGCTGATATTTCTGGCTGAAAAATAACTTGCGAAAACGGAGACGGAAGCCGTATGATAAGTACGCAGCTGCTGGCCATCTGGTCCCCGGTCACTTGCCCTATCATGCCATTCTATCACCGTTGCACCCCTTCCTGCTCCTTCAAACGTAATATACGGTTTTGATGCCGGCACCACCACCTTCTCTCTGCACCACCACCACATTGTCAATCATGGCAAAAGAGTTTCAAAATGTAGTTATCATATTCCAAAAGAAAAATAACATATTTATAATGCTTTAGAAAACAAAAAATAAATAAATAAATAATTCACGGCTTGATTTTGAGCTAGCATGCTGCATGCTAAGCCTCTAACCACGAGTATGAAATAAATTAACAACACCCCCACGGCCACAATCGCTTGACTAGCTAATGTAGTAGAGTATAACCAACGTTTCCAAGTCATAAAATGTCGTAACAATGGTTTGAGTAACTTCAAAAGCTAACATATAAATATAATTGCTCACAAGTTCAGACGTACGAAATTTTCGCAAAATGAATGTTGGAGAATTGAATCACAGTTGACAAAAGTTTATTCAGACTATCTATCTTTAATGACAATTTAAAACTAAACAACTAAAGTTTGTTCAAGAACCAATTAGTGCTCCATACAATGGTATTCAACGCATGCATGCCAAATGCCAAGCAGAATATTATTATTATCTTTTTTTCTAATTTAGAAGAAGAATTGAGACGAAAACCGAAATCCGAGAAGCATTATATATATATTACATGTAAAAACCAGGACTTATTCGGATAAGCACATTCTCGCGGTTGCTCTCTGGGACAGAATCAACGGCAGCTTGAACTGATCTGAAGTTTCCGAACCCTTCAAGGTCGACTGTAATGAGACGGTTGCCGGAGGGCCCTATCCATCTATGGTGGTGGTGGTGGTTGCTAGAGTTAAAAGAGGGTTCCTGTGTGCTTAGTGAATTGTGCTTGTAGAAGTGGTGTCTGCGGTGAAACCTGGAAGAAGCACAAGAATTTGGTACCAAGAATAATGTTACAAAGTACACGAAGAATAGAGCAAAGTGAGAGTTAAGAAAAGCCATCAAGAAAAAATCTTCAATTAATGACGTTCAGGGAAGGGAATGTTTGCGAATTAAGAAGGGAATGAGAGAAATAATTGGACCAAGGAATGTAGTTCTGATTTCTGAAAGCAGTTAAGAAGAAATACAGATTAATATATAGAGAAGACGGGGGGCGTAATGGCATACGGAGGAGGGAACTATTTACTGCATATATCAAGTGTGTTTCCATGCACATTCCAACGGTCATATTTTCTGTGCATGATTCCCTTGCATTCAGGAATTAATTGATGAATATGCTAGGGTCATGGGCTAACACGGAAGGGAACTGAACTGCGAGTGGATCGGACAAGTGCCTGTAATATTAGATGGAGGAAACCAGGTACTCAGTTGCATTTTTTTTTTTTTTTGAGGGAAATAAAAAAGAATGTAGATGGTATTTGAATAATTCTGACCA